CAATACCTACATATGTCAAACTTCCGCTCACCAGGGAAGTCCGCCAACTTACCATGGAACTTTGAATGGAGACTGGGTAGATCGATAGAGATTGTAAGGTTATTTACAGATATAAAAAATCTGCAACCTGCATTTCACAAGCAACTTATTAGCAGGTAAAGTTTGTAATGGTGCAGTAGAGAGGAGGCTTGGTGGTGGGCTGTGAAGCATAAGCGAGGACGTGGTGATTCAGTGGTAAGGTTCGACGTTCGACGACTCGATTCGAAGTGTGCGACTTCTTGCTTATGCTGCTACTGCTTATGCTTCACAGCCCACCACCAAGCCTCCACCCTACTGCACCATTACAAACTTTACCTGCTCATAAGTTGCTTGTGAAATGCAGGTTGCAGTTTTGCTATCTATATTTGTAAATAACCTTATAGACTATCGATCTACCCAGGTCTCCATTCAGAGTTCCATGGTATGTTGGTGGACATTATGGTCAGAGAACAATCTGTCATATTGACGATTCTAGTAAGGGGTCATTACTTCCAATAGTTTATAGATGGCAATAATCAGAGTGGAACAGGACTCTCTGTTGAAGTGCCATATCCTGTGTGGCAACGGAACCGCTCTTCTCATACACGGAAAGGATTTCACCTTTCAGATTCTAGCAGAATGTATTATCAGAACGGCAGGGTGGAGTTGTCATTCTTATGTTGTTAGCTAGAGAAAACAATTTTTAATTTGGGTCATTTGCCAGGACTTAAATTCTGATTTTGACTAAAGTCTATTCCCAATCAAATCTTATCGCATTGAAACGCAATTTCAAATGCGAATGCTCTCCCATTTCTTAGGTTTTCGCGATGTTTTTTGGCGAACTCCATCGGAAGATAGGATTTTAGCGATCCGCTGGGATTTATTCGACATCGCTCCACTGCAGAGTAATCGAAAATCATTTCTTCCAAATTCTTATCAGAAGGTTATATCTGTGTTGTGGACTAATCTATGCGAGGTAAAATGTGTGGAACGAGCACCGGGTACGTTTTGATTTTGCCATTTGCCTTTTTTTCTCGTTTTGATTGGTCCACGCAGGGGAGCTGACGCCGATGTTGGAGATCACCTGGTTGCCGGCGCTCGGAAAGGGAACTGCCCCATCTGAAGAGGAGATAACTCTTCGTTTCATTGCTCAGGTTAGTTTGTTTGTTGTGTGAAATTTCTTCCCTGCACTCAACGTATTTGATCAAGAATTACGAGAATCGAACATGGAAGGCAGTCACGGTGGAATTCGAGTCCGTCGACAAAGCTCAGCAAGCCAGGGAACATATGGTGGACGTGGTGCGAGCTCTCAACTCACCTGCATTCCAGGTAAAGACCAGAGAAGAAAATGTAGGCTTCGAAAGGGGTTCCACGGAATAAACACTATTCGACACGAGTACCTCTTGCAGAAAAAATTTGGTAAAACATTTCAGTCATAGTGTCAAGGTGGGCGGTAGAGTGTCAGGCAGCGTTCAGACTTCGCGACGACAGGGTTGCAGCGCGTCGATCGCTGTACCGCTCTATAGGGAGAAGTGTTTCTAGCAAATTTGGTGATTTAGGGTATGTTGGCGCCGGGGTCTGTTGAGCGGATGCGAGGCGGATTCGTACCTAGCAAATGGCGAATGTGATGGTCTTGTTGAGGAGGTCGAACTACCTTTTGGTACAAACTTTCAGTCGAGTTTGCCCTCGTAGAAAAAAGTCGGTGAAAAACTGCCCGGATCAGAAAGACTGGGATAGTAATAGGTAGAAATAAATGTATTTTCATTTTAGTGATTATTTACCGTATTATTCATTTTATTTATTTCTACCTATTACTATCCCAGTCTTTCGGGATCCGGGCAGTTTTTCACCGACTTTTTTCTACGAGGGCAATTTCGACTGAAAGTTTGTACCAAAAGGTAGTTCGACCTCCTCAACAAGACCATCACATTCGCCATTTGCTAGGTACGAATCCGCCTCGCATCCGCTCAACAGACCCGGTGCCAACATACCCTAAATCACCAAATGCTAGAAACCTTCTCCCTATAGAGAGGTACAGCGATCGACGCGCTGCAACCCTGTCGTCGCGAAGTCTGAACGCTGCCTGACACTCTACCGCCCACCTTGACACTATGACTGAAATGTTTTACCAAATTTTTTCTGCAAGAGGTACTCGTGTCGAATAGTGTTTATTCCGTGGAACCCCTTTCGAAGCCTACATTTTCTTCTCTGGTCTTTACCTGGAATGCAGGTGAGTTGAGAGCTCGCACCACGTCCACCATATGTTCCCTGGCTTGCTGAGCTTTGTCGACGGACTCGAATTCCACCGTGACTGCCTTCCATGTTCGATTCTCGTAATTCTTGATCAAATACGTTGAGTGCAGGGAAGAAATTTCACACAACAAACAAACTAACCTGAGCAATGAAACGAAGAGTTATCTCCTCTTCAGATGGGGCAGTTCCCTTTCCGAGCGCCGGCAACCAGGTGATCTCCAACATCGGCGTCAGCTCCCCTGCGTGGACCAATCAAAACGAGAAAAAAGGCAAATGGCAAAATCAAAACGTACCCGGTGCTCGTTCCACACATTTTACCTCGCATAGATTAGTCCACAACACAGATATAACCTTCTGATAAGAATTCGGAAGAAATGATTTTCGATTACTCTGCAGTGGAGCGATGTCGAATAAATCCCAGCGGATCGCTAAAATCCTATCTTCCGATGGAGTTCGCCAAAAAACATCGCGAAAACCTAAGAAATGGGAGAGCATTCGCATTTTGAAATTTGCGTTTCAATGCCGATAGATTTATTGGGGAATAGACTTTAGTCAAAATACGAGCATTAAAGGCTGACCACGCAATTAAAATGCAGGGGCTATGACCTCTCGAATGTGTCGGACGATCCGGAAGGCGATTTTTGAGGCTGCGCTACTTTCAAAATGTGAAAACCGGCAAGAACTCCGCTAGAAGCTGACTAATTAGGCCCATGGACACCCCTTAGGCCCATGCCGACCCTCACCGGCTGCTAGCTACTAGCTAGTAGCCACTATGTTATCTTTCTCTATAACATTTCGGACTGCTTTTTCTGCTGCTTTTCTCCGCTAATCAGATACTTAGCACTTTTTTGTGCCTATTTGAGTTCCGTTTCCCGCAATTTGCGGTCGCGAACTGTGCCTTTAAGTCCTGGCAAATGACCCAAATTAAAAATCGTTTTCTCTAGCTAACAACACTCCACCCTGCCGTTCTGATAATACATTCTGATGGAATCTGAAAGGTGAAATCCTTTACGTGTATGAGAAGAGCGGTTCCGTTGCCACACAGGATATGGCACTTCAACAGAGTCCTGTTCCACTCTGATTATTGCCATCTATAAACTATTGGAAGTAATGACCCCTTACTAGAATCGTCAATATGACAGATTGTTCTCTGACCATGGATGTCCACCAACATACCATGGAACTCTGAATGGAGACCTGGTTAGATCGATAGAGTCTATAAGGTTATTTACAAGTATAGATAGCAAAACGACAACCTACATCTTACAAGCAACTTATGAGCAGGTAAAGTTTGTAATGGTGCAGTAGGGTGGAGGCTTGGTGGTGGGCTGTGAAGCATAAGCAGTAGCAGCATAAGCGAGAAGTCGCACACTTCGAATCGAGTCGTTGAAACATAGAACCTTACCAGTTTTTTTGAAGTCGTTTTATTAGATAACTGCTGTTTTACGCCGCAGTACGCGTTACGAAAGTTATCACAAGAATGCTGAGTTATGGGCAAAAGTCGTGCCCCAGGCGGGAGTCGAACCCGCACCTCACGCTTTCCGGGCGAGTGCGCTATCCGTTACGCCACCAGGGCCTATTTCACCCTACGCCGACTTTTGCCCATAACTCAGCATTCTTGTGATAACTTTCGTAACGCGTACTGCGGCGTAAAACAGCAGTTATCTAATAAAACGACTTCAAAAACTTGTAAAGCCTTCGGCCTCGCGGTTCCATGCCGATATCTAACGATTACGGCTGACCGGCTCACCAAGTTAAACGTGTGAGTGCTGTAAGGCTACGGCATAAGCCGTTAAGCTGAGAGGGTGAAATAGGCCCTGGTGGCGTAACGGATAGCGCACTCGCCCGGAAAGCGTGAGGTGCGGGTTCGACTCCCGCCTGGGGCACGACTTTTGCCCATAACTCAGCATTCTTGTGATAGAATTCTTAGCCATTGAACCACCACGACTCGAGTATGCTATTCCTCGTTTATGCTTCACAGCTCACCACAAAGCTTGCATCCCACTGCACCATTACAAACCTTACTTTCTCATAAGTTGCTTGTGAAATGCAATTTGCAGTTTCTGCTATTTACATTTGTAAATAACCTTATAGACTCTATCGATCTACCCGGTCTCCATTCAAAGTTCCATGGTAAGTTGGCGGACTTCCCTTGGTGAGCATGAATACAGAAGAACTCCATCTCTCCGAAGAGCAATTACGTATTCCCTCAGGCTACTTGCTTTTCCATATGCCGTCCATTCTGAACTGCAAGTTCTTGCAAGAGTGGCAGGGAAACTGTAAGCTTTTTATTCAGTAGCGCTATAGAAGCTGTACAATCTCTATCGACAGGAGTTGCAGCTCAGGACTGCACCGTAACCCATTGACACAGTCGTTTCAAATTCCAGTATAAGATCATTCGTGAACTCAGAATGCAGTACAAATGACCGTGATACTTGTGTACAGCCAAGCTATCCTCGTTTCTTTCTGCTCTTGGTTTTCATGAAATATTTTTCCGGAGAGTTCCACATATATCCATCCAATCGGACGATGTCGCCATCGCCGTCCGCACGGAAACGATTAACAAGGATGGTGACGAAATTTGGTCAGGTCCCATAGCCTAACATAGTCCCGCACGAATCACTGTCTAATGAAAATAGGCAAAAAAGGGGATTAAAGGCTGCTGACGGCAGGAAAGTTCTCAGTGTAAGGACCTGTGAGGCTGCGTTCATACTTCACGACAGCGTTCACCAGCATCTGCCAGAGTCTCGAGGGATACGGAAGTGTACATGTCGACCTGGCGTCTCCCAAATGCGTTTCCACTAGCGCTTCGCGGATCGATATCTATGGCGTCGTCGGGGGGGGGAGCAATAAGAAAGACACTTCGACCGAGTTACATATCAGCAAAATTTTCGTGGCCCAGATAGAGGACATGGATACGAGTACCAGGGCAGAAAAATACCAAGATGTTCCTCTATAAGCAGGAGCTGGCCGCTCGCCATCACCTTCATGTACACCCAAAATATGAAGTCATCTCCAGTCGCAGCCTCACTGAAGAAGACCTTTGGGAATTCATTCTTCTTCTTCTCCCTAGCGTTAGTCCCGCGCCGTCGCAGGGTCCGCTGATCTTGTTAGACGTCGCCACTTGTTCCGATCCACTGCATCTTCTGCTGTGGCTTTCACTTCAGTGAGGTCCTTCTTGATGACGTCCCTCCATCTTTTCTTTGGGGCTCCTCGTGGTCGCTTGCCCTCTACCTCGAGTTCCAATGCCTTCCTTATTGGGTGGTCTTCAGGCCTCCTCAGTACATGACCGTACCATCGCAGTCGCTGCTCTCGTGCCTTCAGCTGGATAGGAGCCGTCTGTGTGACTGCTCTGACGTCCTCGTTTCTGACTCTATAGTCGAGTCCATCTCAGCATCCTCATTTCAGCTGAGTGGAGCTGCCTT